GTTCCGCGGCGCGTCCTCCTGGCGTGTCCCCTCTGTCGATTAGTTCTGGGGCAGCTACCACCTGCTCAGGCAGCTCGAGCTTTATATCCAGATTATTTCGGTCAGGACTCGGATGCCAGGGAGGACTCGATCCACAACGCTATATATATAGCACAATCGCGGCATGGCACATCGCAGTTAGGCACGGCGTAGCACAGCACAGCCCTCGGCACAGTACATCAAGATCGATACATTCAGCATTGCATTTGCCCGTCGCCCAATCAGGTGTCCTTGAAACGTTGCCTTGCCGTACATTTCTGTATTCCTTCCCGGGTTCGTGGGTCGTTCATGTTCAATGCGGGGTGCCCGGGAGTCTCGACCCATCCCCAGGACCGGTCTTTCGTCCCGAGTCGTTTGTTGACGGTCCGTACGGCCGGCGAAAGTATTTGCGGTAAATAACGAGGTCGACGAGGGCCGGCGAAAGTATGTTTGAGGATGTCTAGAGCGAAACGCTTTTTCCCAGAAACGGTGGGGGCCCAGGGTTTTCTTTTAGTTGGTTTACCGTCGGTTTCGACGGCTCTAGGGCCAGCGAAATTATTTGCGATAAGTAACGAGGTCGTCTAGGGCCGGCGAAATTGTTTCTGAAGATGTCTCGAGCGAAACGCTTGTTATTCAGAATATGTTGAGGATGTCTCGCGCGAAACGCTTGTTTTGTGTTATACATTGTCCTCTCCTGGGGACCTGAATTCAGAGGATCTCTGAAGTGAAATGCTTGTCTTCACGTGCCCAGGTCTTGAGGATGTCTCGAGCGAGACGCTTGGTTTCACGCCTCCTGGTTGCCCAGACAGATGTCTGACATGAGGATTCGTTGAGGATGTCTCGAACTCGAGACGCTTGGTTTCTCTCGTCCTCGTCGCCCAGGCGGATGTTTAGCATGAGGATGTGTCGAGGAAGTCTCGATCGAGACGCTTGTCTGCACGTGTCCAGGTTGCCCAGGTGGATGTCTAGCATGAGCGAACCGCGTGTTTTCACGTGTCCAGGTCGCCAAGGCACAGCACAGCCCTCGGCACGATACATCAATATATATATGTATATATATATATATATCCCTTAGTATTGCAGCTTGGCGTGTTGCCCGGCACGTTCCGCGGAGCGTCCCGTGGCGAGTCCCCTTGGCACGTCGCGCGGTGCACGTCCATTGACACGTTCCGTAGCGCGTCCCCTTGGCACGTCCCGCGGTGCGTGCCCATGGCACGCCCCCTGGCACGTCGCCTGGCGCGTCCCTTGGGACGTTCCTCGACGCGTCCTTCTGGCATGTCCCCCTGTCGATTAGCTCTGGGGCAGCTACTATGTGTTCAGGCAGCTCGAGCTTAAGATCCAGATCAGTTCGGTCAGGACTCGGATACAAAGAGGACTCGATCCACAACGCTATATAGAGCACACTCGCGGTATGGCACATCGCAGTTCAGCATGGCCCAGCACAGCACAGCCGTCTGGACGGTACATCAAGATCGATACTTTCAACATTGCACCTTGGCACGTTCCTTGGCTCGTTTCGTGGCGAGTCCACCTGGCACGTGGCGCGGCGCGTCCCCTGGCACGTCCCGCGGCACGTCCGTTGACACGTTTCGTAGCGCGTCCCCTTGGCACGTCCCGCGGTGGGTCCCCATGGCACGTCCTCTGGCGCGTCGCCTGGCGCGTCCCTTGGGACGTTCCGCGGCGCGTCCTCCTGGCATGTCCCTTCTGTTGATTAGTTCTGGGGCAGCTACTATGTGTTCAGGCAGCTCGAGCTTAAGATCCAGATCATTTCGGTCAGGACTCGGATGCCAGGGAGGACTCGATCCACAACGCTATATATTTATATAGAGCACACTCGCGGTATGGCACATCGCAGTTCAGCACGGCTTAGCACAGCAAAGCCGTCGGCACGGCACATCAAGTTCGATACACTCAGCATTGAATTTGCCCGTCGCCCAATCAGGTGTCTTTGGAATGTTCCCATGCTATACATTTCTATGTTCCTTTCCAGGTTTGTGGGTCGATCATACTTTTCAGAATTTGTTGAGGTTGCCTCGAGCGAAACGCTTGTTTTGTGGTATAGATTGTCCTATTCATAGGATCATTCAAGTGACATGCTTGTTGTCACGTGCCCAGGTCTTGAAGATGTCTCGAGCGAGACGCTTGGTTTCACGCCTCCAGGTTGCCCAGGCAGAGGTCTAGCGCCAGGATTTGTTGAGGATGCCTCGAGCGAGACGCTTGGTTTCACGCGTCCTCGTCGCCCAGGCGGATGTTTAGCATGAGGATGTGTTGAGGAAGTCTCGTTGGAGATGCTTGTTTGCACGTGTCCAGGCTGCCCAGGCGGATGCCTAGCATGAGGATGTGTTGAGAATGCCTCGTGAGATACGCTTGTTTTCACGTGTCCAGGTCGCCCAGGCGGGTGTCTAAAATGAAGATGTGTTGAGGATGTCTCGAGCGAGACGTTTGCTTTCACGTGTGCAGGTCGCCCAGGCGGATGTCTAGAATGAGAAGGTGTTGAACACGTCTCCAGCGAAACGCTTGTTTTCACGTGCCAAGGTCACCCAGGCGGACCTCTCACATGAAGATGTGTTGAGGATGTCTCCAGCGAGCCATTTGTTTTCACGTGTCCAGTTCGCCCAGGCGGATGTCTAGCATGAGAATGTGTTGAGGATGTGTGGAGCGAAACGCTTGTTTTCACGTGTCCAGGTCGCTCAGGCGGATGTCTAGCATGAGGATTTTGGCATGATGTCTCGAGCGAAACGCTTGTCCCCAGCACGTTCCGTAGCGTGTCCCCTTGGCACGCCCGCCAGTGCGTGCCCATGGCACGTCCCGTGGCACGTCGCCTGGCGCGTCCCTTGGGACGTTCCTCGGCGCGTCCTCCTGGCATCTCCCCGTGTCAATTAGCTCTGGGGCAGATACTATGTGTTCAGGCAGCTCGAGCTTAATATCATGATCAGTTCGGTCAGGACTCGGATGCAAAGGAGGACTCGATCCACAACGCCAGGGAGCACAATCGCGGCATGGCATATCGCAATTCAGCACGGCGTAGCACAGCACAGCTTTTGTTTTTTTTTTATTTTGTTTTTTTTTTTTTTTTTTTTTTTTTTTTTGTCTTTTTTTTTTTTTTTTTTTTCATTTTTTTTTCCTTTTTTTTTTTTTTTTTTTTCTCTTTTGTTTTTTTTTTTGTTTTTTGGTTTTTTTTTTTTGTTTTTTTTTTTTTCTTGATCTTTTTTTGCTTTTTTTTTTTTTTTTTAGTTATTTTTTATGTGTTTTTTTTTTTTTTTTTTTTTTCGGCAATGGTACATCAAGATCGATGATTCCTAGCATTGCAGTTGGCAGTTCCTTAGGAACGTTCTGTGGGGTGCGTCCCCTGGCGGAGTCCCCCTGGCACGTCGCGCGTGGGCGCGTCCCCTGGCACATCCTGTGGCACATCCATTGGCACGTTCCGTCGCGCGTCCCCTTGGCACGTCCCGTGGTGCGACCCCATGGCACCTCCCCTGGCACGTCGCTTGGCGTGTCCCTGGGGACGTTCCGCGGCGCGTCCTCCTGGCATGTCCCCCTGTCAATTAGCTCTGGGGCAGCTACTATGTGTTCAGGCAATTCGAGCTTAAGATCAGGTCAGTTCGGTCAGGACTCGGATGCAGAGGAGGACTCGATCCATGACGCTAGAGACCACAATCGCAGCACGGCACATCGCAAGTCAGCACCGTGCAGCACAGCACAGCCTTCGGCTGGGTACATCAAGATCGATACATTCAGCATTGCATTTGCCCGTCACCCAACCAGGTGTCTTTGAAAACGTTGCCCTGCGTTACATTTTTCTATATTCCTTTCCGGGTTCGTGGGTCGATCATGCTCCTCCCGAGTCGTCTGTTGAGGGTCCCGAGGCCCGGCAACGGCCACCTTGGGCCGAGGATGGCCGGAAGCCTCCCGGCCCGATTTGTTTCGCGACGCGGTCCTGTCTGGGATGGTGGGCTTGTTTTCCGCCACCACCACCATAAGTTGGAGGGGGAAGGAGGAGGAGGACGAGGAGGAGGACGAAGAGGAGGAGGAGGAGGAGGAGGAGGAGGAGGAGGAGGAGGAGGAGGAGGAGGACCCCCTCCCCCTCCAGCTTATGGTGGTGGTGGAAAACAGGCCCATCATGGGAGGGTCACTGTTTGCGTGCCGCCGAGGAGCGCACGCAGGGAGGGGTGCCGGAGATGCCCGAGAGGCCGGGAGCGCGGGAGGCCTCATCGGGCCTGCCGCCGGGCTTCCGGGGGGTGCTGAGCGTGGGCTCGGTGGGCCACCCGTACGCGTGCCGCGAGCCCTGCAAGTACGTGCGCAAGAGCCGCGGGTGCAAGGACCCAAGGGCTCCCACGAGGGCGCGAAATTATTTGCGTTTCGCGGTCCTCGTTCCTTTTCCCCCTCCTCCTCGTCCTCCTTTTCTCCCTTTGGGAAGGCGGCGCGAGGGCGCGAAGATCTTCGCACGTCGCGCTTCGCGGAGCACGAAGCGCGAAGTTGGGAGCCCTAGAGGACCGGGCCGGATGAAAGGGGGGGATAGGGAAATATGGGGGGGGTACGAAATCTGCTGCGTGCAGCTGGTTTCGGCCCCACCGAGGGGCCCATTCCTCGATACGTGGCCGTCTCCAGCGCCGGGAGGCGCCGGGGAAATCAGCGGCGTGAGCTGATTCTCAAACCCCCCTTTTGCTATCCCCCCCTTTCGCCCAGCCCGAGAGGACGGGGCGCAGTGCGACCGGTGCCACGCCTGCGTCTGGAGCTACTACAGGCCAGGGGCGTACTTAATAGCTGCCCCGATCACGCCCGTTTTGGAAGCGCGGCGCGTGCCGCGTGCAAAGCGTCCGTGTGAACACGCTGCGTGTTGGCTCAACGTGTTGGCCCACGTACAGGCGGCCCGGATTAGTATTAAGTCGGGCTCCCCCTACAGGGGGAGTTTCGACGAAAAATAAGCAGTACCCCAAAAATAGTCAAAAATGATACCGGAGAAAAACACCAATCAGATTTTTGTTAGGGCTATAGGGCTATTGGGCTATACGGCTATCGGGCTATAGGGCTATAGGGCTATAGGACTGTGACCTATAGGGCCATAGGGCTATAGGGCTATGGGGCTATAGAGCTATATGGGCTATGGGGCTATAGGGATATAAGGCTATTAGGGCTATAGGGATATAAGCGTATAGGGCTACAGGGCTATAGGGCTATACGGCTATAGGGCTATAGGGCTATAGGGCTACAGGGCTATTGGGCTATTGGGCACCCCCGGGCACCCGGGCACCCCCGGGCACCCGGGCACCCCCGGGCACCCGGGCACCCGGGCACCCGGGCCCGGCCACCGACATCGGCCACCCGGGCACCCCCGGGCACCCGGGCACCCGGCCCCGGCCACCGAAATCGGCCGCTCACCTCACCTCAGCTTTATATCCGCTAGGACCCCTACAGAAGCAAGCTCTGATTGGGGAAATAGTTCAAACATAGTCTGGGGACTATTTTTTTAATATTTTTCTACCTTCTTGGGGCATTTTCAGGATATTTTCCCGGAAAGGGCGCAGGCCCAGGATTCTCTTTTAGTTGTTTACCCCCGGATCTGACGGGAAGAGGGCCGGCGACTTTCTTTTGCGATAAAAAACTAGTGGGAAGAGGGCCGGCGAATTAAATTTTGAGGATGTCTCGAGCGAAACGCTTGTTTTCCAGAATTTGTTGAGGATGTCTCGAGCGAAACGCTTGTTTTGTGTTATAGATTGTCCTCTCCTGGGGACCAGAATTTAGAGGATCTCTCCAGTGAAATGCTTGGTTTCACGTGCCCCGGTCTTGAGGATGTCTCGAGCGAGACGCTTGGTTTCACTCGGATGTCTAGAATGAGGAGGTGTTGAGGAAGTCTCGATCGAGATGCTTGTTTGCACGTGTCCAGGTTGCCCAGGCGGATGCCTAGCATGAGGATGTTTTGAGAATGTCTCGAGAGATACGCTTGTTTTCACGTGTCCAGGTCGCCCAGGCGGATGTCTAACATGAAGATGTGTTGAGGATGTCTCGAGCGAGACGTTTGCTTTTACGTGTACAGTGTACAGGTCGCCCAGGCGGATGTCTGGAATGAGGAGGTGTTGAAAGCGTCTCGAGCGAAACGCTTGTTTTCACGTGCCCAGGTCACCCAGGCGGACGTCTCACATGAAGATGTGCTGAGGATGTCTCGAGCGAACTACTTGTTTTCACGTGTCCAGTTCGCCCAGGCGGATGTCTAGCATGAGAATGTGTTGAGGATGTGTTGAGCGAAACGCTTGTTTTCACGTGTCCAGGTCGCTCAGGCGGATGTCTAGCATGAGGATTTGGACAGGATGTCTCGATCGAAACGCTTGTCCCCAGCACGTTCCGTAGCGCGTCCCCTTGGCACGTCCCGTGGTGCGACCCCATGGCACGTCCCCTGGCACGTCGCTTGGCGTGTCCCTTGGGACCTTCCGCGGCGCGTCCTCCTGGCATGTCCCCCTGTCAATTAGCTCTGGGGCAGCTACTATGTGTTCAGGCAGCTCGAGCTTAAGATCCATATCAGTTCGTCAGGACTCGGATGCAAAGGAGGACTCGATCCACGACGCTATAGAGCACAACCGCGGCATGGCACATCGCAATTCAGCACGGTGCAGCACAGCACAGCTTTCGGCACGGTACATCAAGACCGATACAATCAGCATTGCAGCTTGGCACGTTCCTTGGCACGTTCCGTGGGGCTTCCCTTGGCGAGTCCCCCTGGCACGTCGCGTGGCGCGTCCCCTGGCACATCCCGTGGCACATCCATTAGCACGTTCCGTCGCGCGTCCCCTTGGCACGTCCCGTGGTGCGTCCCCATGGCACGTCCCCTGGCATGTCACATGGCGCGTCCCTTGAGACGTTCCGCGGCGCGTCCTCCTGGCATGTCCCCCTGTCAATTAGCTCTGCGGCAGCTACTATGTGTTCAGGCAGCTCGAGCTGAAGATCCATATCAGTTCGGTCAGGACTCGGATGCAAAGGAGGACTCGATCCATGACGCTATAGAGCACAACCGCGGCATGGCACATCGCAATTCAGCACGGTGCAGCACAGCACAGCTTTCGGCACGGTACATCAAGATCGATACAATCAGCATTGCATTTGCCCGTCACCCCATCAGGGTGTCTCTTTTTTTTTTTTATGTTTTTTTTTTTTTTCTTTGTTTTTTTGTTTTTTCTTTTTTTTTTTTTTTTTTTTTTTTTTTTTTTTTTTTTTTTTCTTTTTTTTTTTTTCAAAAACGTTGACTTTTGCTTCTTTTCTTGCGTTACATTTCTATATTCCTTTCCGGGTTCGTGGGTCGATCATGTTTAACTTTTCGTCGAAAATCCCCCTGTAGGGGGACACGCCCGACATGAGATTCGTAGGTCGACCCTCCCATATCAGGGGTAACCTTGTGTCCTGTGTCTCCCGACCCATGCCTGCTAGCATTCCTGTGGCAATGTGGCCCTCGGAAGGGTCTTGTGTCCTCTCGCGTGTCCTGCTCAATCAGGGCCGACTGTGCGCTTCCAGTATACGTGTTGAGCTCCGTATTAGTACGCTACGTGTTGCGTGTGGCGCATCGGGGCAGCCACCGAGGCCAGGGGTCGACCTCAGCGGTGTTTTCGTTTTGCGATTTCGTGCGCCGTTTTCGTTTCGACCCTGCTCTCTTCGAAAAGGGGATCGACCACAGAATTGATTTACCCCGAAATTGACTTCTTCATCGAAGCTACGAGCATCCTACGTATGTCTCGCAGACTCAACGGGAAATCATTTTAGGGGTAAATGGATTCTGTAAGTCGATCCCCTACTCGATCTTTGCAGCAGAGAGGCGGATCTGGACAACAAAAACGAGGGAAAGCAACAGCGCAAGACGAGAGCGAGCAAAATCGGGGGCGGCCAAGAGGGGCGGGCTGACCAGGGGGGGGGATCTCATGGCGGGGGCCATGACATTTCCCCAGATCTCACGGCGCGCCTTCTTGTTCCACTATACGTCCCCGCCCCCCCCCCTGGGCCGCGCACGTGCCGCCGGTCATGCTTTGCGCCCCCCCCCCCCCTCTTGTCTGGACGTCCGAAATGGGTACGGAAAGACTGGGCACAATGCCCAACAGCGGATCGGGTTCATTCTGAACAGGACTCGTTGTCCACGCCGCCGCACCCGTGTCCACTCGAGACAGAAGGCCGCCTGCCCAACAGCGGCCGCTGTTGGTTTGGGGCAACATTCCTTTCTGGGCATTGTACCCATTCTTTCCGTACCCATTTCGGGCGTCCAAATTGATGTCGATGCCAGCCGGCCCGATCCAGTTTGTTAAAGTCGGGCATGACTCTGCACAGGAGGAAAATCCAAAAATCATGTCACAATAGTCTGGGGACGATTCTCTGTTTTGTCCGGCCTGTTTTGATCATGCCTTGACCATGTACCGATTTATGCTACGTATAAGTTTCTCCTCCAGAATCCGTGTGCAGGCGGACATGCCCGACCTAAATCCTCTTCGGGCGTCCAAACTCTTTGGCCGCCCCCGACACTTGAGGAGGAGGTGGTGGAGAGGGAGGAGGAGGAGGAGGAGGAGGAGGAAGGAGGAGGAGGAGGAGGAGGAAGAGGAGGGGAGGCGGGGAAGGAGGCGGAGGAGTGAGGAGGAGGAGGAAGAGAGGATGAGGAGGAGGAGGAGAGGAGGAGGAGGCTTGGGTCGAGGCTGCTGCCAGGGCTGAAGCCCAAGCCCGAGGTGGCGCGCCCGCCGACGGCGGGCCGTGCCGGCCCCGCCGGGCCGCAGGGCCAGTGACCGCCGCGGGGGGCCCAGGCAGCTCGCAGTGAAGGGTCGGGCCCTCCCCTATCCTCATCCTCCTCCTACTCCTCCCCCTCCTCCTCCTCCTCCTCCTCCTCCTCCTGGTTGACCGAAGCGGGGGTCCAGCAACAAGTCGCCACCCACCAAAATCGGGCCGGACGAAAGGGGGGGATTGGGAAAGGGGGGGTACGAAATTTGCTGCGTGCAGCTGGTTTCGGCCTCACCGAGGGGCCCATTCCTCGATACATAGCCGCCTCTGGCGCCGGGAGGCGCCGGGAGAATCAGCTGCGTGAGCTGATTCTCAAACCCCCCCTTTGCTATCCCCCCCTTTCGCCCGACCCGAAAGGGGCCCCAGAGCACGCAAGCAGATGCACACTGCACACAAGCAAACAGAGTCCCCCCGTTTTCCCGGATTTCCCCGGGGTTTGTCTTCCCCCCCCCACACTTCCCGTCTTGCCCCATCTTTTCCTGGGACTCGACGATGGACTCGACGATGAATTGTGTCTGCGTGTTTTTCCCCTTCCTGACAGGGAGGTCGCCACGTCGGGCACGATGGCGCCGTGAAGCCGAGAGCAGTTCGGATGCGACTCCTGGGAGGTCAGGTCCTGATCTTGCCCTGGTCCAAACTCTTTGGTTCAATCCGGCTTGATCCCGCTGAATCCGGCTTGATCCCGCTTAATCCCGTTTTATCCGGCTTAATCCCGCTTTATCCGGCTTAATCCCGCTGAATCCCGTTTAATCATGTTTCATCCCGCTTTATCCGAGGCCCACTCCGGCGCAACAGCCGCCCAGTGGGGCTCAGTCCTCCCTGATCCTGCCGACGGAGACCTCAGGTGCCTCCTAAAATCAGGACGGGAGGTTTTGTGCTATTTTCGGCCTCGGGAGGCCCTCGCTGGGCCTCAGGACAGTCCAAAAGCGACTCAGGATGAGACGCTGGTCCTGGGGAAGGGGTCGGGACTTCCAAGGACACCGTATTGAAAAAATCAGAACGTCGCATGTCTGGGACTACCATTCGGTCGGACATGTCCTCCTACATCGAGCTGAGGCGAAGCGTCTTGGCTTTCCAAGAGTCCCACCAAAGACCGTTCTAGGGACATTTGCACGGAATGTTCTCAGACCGTGTCCGGCTGAGACTGTTTTGTTTCAACACATCGAGCTCAACATTTTTCCAGAAAGGGCTCCAGGGCTTCCTTGTAGGTGTTCACCCCCGGAATCGACGGGAAGATGGCGGGCGAACATGTTTGCGGTAAGTGACGAGGTGGGAAGAGGGCTGGCGGAATTATTTTTGAGGATGTTCCAAGCGAAACGTTTGTTCCCGGGAAGGGCGCCGGCCCAGGGTTCTTTTTTAGCTGTTTCTCCCCGGACAAGACGGGAAGAGGGCCGGCGCAATGATTTGCCGTAAATAACGAGGCGGAAAGAGGGTTGGCGGAATTATGTTTGAGGATGTCACGATCGAAACGTTTGATTTTTAAGACTTGGTTGAGGATGTCCCCAGCGAAACGTTTTTATGTTATATATATGTATACATATATACATATATACATATATACATATATACATATATATATAATATGTGTGTATGTTGTTTTATGTTGGGGATGCTTTTCCCGGAAAGGGCGTAGGCCCAGGATTCTCTTTTAGCTGTTTACCCCTGGACCTGACTTGAGGTGGGCCGGCGGAATTATTCCCTGATAAATCTCGAGGTCGAGGTGGGCCGGCGGAATTATTTTTGAGGATGTCCATAGCGAAACGCTTGTTTTTCAGAATTTGTTGAGGATTTCTCGAGCGATACGCTTGTTTTGTGTCATGGATTGTTCTTTCTGGGGACCAGAATTCAGAGGATCTCTCAAGTGAAATGCTTGGTTTCACATGCCCAGGTCTGGAGGATGTCTCGAGCGAGACGCTTGGTTTCACGCCTCCAGGTTGCCCAGGCCGAGGTCAAGCGCCAGGATTTGTTGAGGATGTCTCGAGCGAGACACTTGGTTTCACGCGTCCTCGTCGCCCAGGCGGATGTCTAGAATGAGGAGGTGTTGAGGAAGTCTCGATCGAGATGCTTGTTTGCACGTGTCCAGGTTGCCCAGGCGGATGCCTAGCATGAAGATGTGTTGAGAATGTCTCGAGAGATACGCTTGTTTTCACGTGTCCAGGTCGCCCAGGCGGATGTCTAACATGAAGATGTGTTGAGGATGTCTCGAGCGAGACGTTTGCTTTCACGTGTACAGGTCGCCAAGGCGGATGTCTAGAATGAGGAGGTGTTGAAAACGTCTCGAGCGAAACGCTTGTTTTCACGTGCCCAGGTGACCCAGGCGGACGTCTCACATGAAGATGTGTTGAGGATGTCTCGAGCGAACTACTTGTTTTCGCGTGTCCAGTTCGCCCAGGCGGATGTCTAGCATGAGAATGTGTTGAGGATGTGTTGACCGAAACGTTTGTTTTCACGTGTCCAGGTCGCTCAGGCGGATGTCTAGAATGAGGATTTTGACAGGATGTCTCGAGCGAAACGCTTGTCCCAGCACGTTCCGTAGCGCGTCCCCTTGGCACGTCCCGCGGTGCGTCCCCATGGCACGTCCCCTGGCGCGTCGCCGGGCGCGTCCTTTGGAACGTTCCGCGGCGCGTCCTCCTGGCATGCCCCCCTGCCAATTATCTCTGTGGCAGCTACTATGTGTTCAGGCCGCTCGAGCTGAAGATCCAGATCAGCTCGGTCAGGACTCGGATGCAAAGGAGGATTCGATCCACAACGCTATAGAGCACAACCGCGGCATGGCACATCGCAATTTAGCACGGTGCAGCACAGCACAGCCCTCGGCAAGGTACATCAAGATCGATACAATCAGCATTGCACTTGCCCGTCACCCAGTCAGGTGTCTTTGAAAACGCTGCCATGCGTTACATTTCTATATTTTTTTCCGGGTTCGTGGGTCGATCATGTTTTGTTTTCAGAATTGGTTGAGGATGTCTCGAGCGAAGAGTTTACTTGTTTGTATCTCTCCTGGGGACCAGAATTCAAAGGATGTCTCAGGTGAAATTCTTGTTTCACGTATGTTCTGCATTGGGAAGTGTATTCGGGGAGCGCTTTTCGTTTCCCCCCCGCCCCCCAGGAGGCCCCAGGAGGCTCGAGAAGTGTGGAAACACATCGATTCCCAACGCCCCAGGGCGGGACAAGCGTGAAAACACATGGGTTCCTAACGCCCCAGGGCGGGAGACACGTGAAAACGCATGGGGTCCTAACGCCCCAGGGCGGGAGAAGCGTAAAAACACATGGGCTCTTAAGGCCCCAGGGCGGGACAAATGTGAAAACACATGGGTTCCTAACGCCCCAGGGCGGGGCAAATGTGAAAACACATGTTTTCCTAACGCCCCAGGGCGGGGCAAATGTGACAACACATGGGTTCCTAACGCCCCAGGGCTGGAGATGCGTGAAAACATCTGGTCCGGGACAAGCGTTCAAACACATGGGTTCCCAACGCCCCGGGGCGGGAGAACCGGAAAAACGCATGGTTCCCAACGCCCCAGGAGGCCCCAGGAGGCCCCATGAGGCTCCAGGACGCCCCAGGAGGCATTGTTCTGTATTGGGATCTGCTTTCGGGGGGCGCCTGTCGCCCCCCCCTCCCGCCCCCAGGAGGCCCCAGGAGGCATTTTGCTGTGCTGGGTATGTGCTCGGGGAGCGCTCTTCGCTCCCCCCCCGAGAAGCGTGGAAACGCATCGGTTCCTGACGTCCCAGGGAAGAGCAAGTGTGAAAACACATGGGTTCCTAACGCCCCAGGGCGGAGCAAGAGCGAAAGCACATGGTTCGTAACGCCCAAGGGCGGGACAAGCGTGGAAGCACATGGGTTCCGATCGCTCCAGACCAGCAGATCTGTGAAAACGCATGGGTTCCTGACGCCCCAGGGCGGGGCAAGCCTGAAAACACATGGGTCCCCTGGCACGTCCCGTGGCACGTCCATTGGCGCGTTCCGTTGCGCGTCCCCGTGGCACGTCCCGCGGTGCATCCCCACGTCCCCTGGCGCGTCGCCGGGCGCGTCCTTTGGAACGTTCCGCGGCGCGTCCTCCTGGCATGCCCCCCTGCCAATTATCTCTGTGGCAGCTACTATGTGTTCAGGCCGCTCGAGCTGAAGATCCAGATCAGCTCGGTCAGGACTCGGATGCAAAGGAGGATTCGATCCACAACGTTATAGAGCACAACCGCGGCATGGCACATCGCAATTCAGCACGGCGCAGCACAGCACACCCTCGTCACGGTACATCAAGACCGATACAGTCAGCATTGCAACCTGGCGCGTTCTTTGGCACGTTCCGTGGCGCGTCCCGTGGCGAGTTCCCTTGGCATGTCGCGCGGCGCGTCCCCTTGCACGTCCCGCGGCACGTCCGTTGGCACGTTCCGTAGCGCGTCCCCTTGGCACGTCTCGCAGTGGGTCCCCATGGCACGTCCCCTGGCGCGTCGCCTGGCGCGTCCCTTGAGACGTTCCGCGGCGCGTCCTCCTATCATGTCCCCTCTGTCGACTAGATCTGGGGCAGCTACCATCTGCCCAGGCAGCTCGAGCTTAAGATCCAGATCAGTTCGGTAAGGACTCGGATGCAAAGGAGGACTCGATCCACAACGCTATGGAGCACAATCCCGGCATGCCACATCGCAATTCAGCACGGTGCAGCACAGCACAGCCCTCGGTACTTGACATCAAGATCGATACACTCAGCATTGCACTTGCTTGTCGCCCAATCAGGTGTCTTTGAAGGGTTGCCACGCATTACATTTCTATATTCCCAACCATCCTGTGGTGTTGGGTCCTCGTTTTGAAGAGACGTCGCCCCGCGTTCCTCCTTCCTCCTCCTTCCTCCTCCTCCCCTTCTTCCCCCCTCCCCCCCCTCCCACACCCATTCTGGCACACCCCTCACACGTTTCGTGGCCCCATAGGGAGCTCCACCGAAGGCCCCAGTGGCTGCGCCCGCATGCGGTTCCACCCCCATTCTGGCACACCCCTCACACGCTTCGTGGCCCCAT